TATGTGCCAAATTTGAAGTCTGTAGCTAGTCGGGAAGTTAGTTTAAAATCGATTACAAAATTCCACCCGAACAGACATACACGAAAGCAAGTTGATATAAACGTGGTAATAAGCATCTGGTTTATGCGAACAACAATAGATTTTCATCGGCTTCCCTAGGAAGGAAATAAGCTTCCTTTAAATTCGATTGCTGCAATCGACAAAATCACAGATATAACATTTAAGTGCAATTTTTTTTTTAAATATGCGGCTCAGAAGCATTTCGTTTTAGATAGACACGAGTAAAAAATACTTATCTAAAAAAAAATTAGAAGCTCCGCTGAGCAAATAGTTTTTTAAATCATATCTGCGTAACAGCCTAATATATTGCAAGCACCTTTAGAAAAACGCGGATAGAGAAATAGTATTAAGTTAAGTTGATAAATTCGAATGTGTCTGCCATTTATATATTTTTTAAAATGATGTATTTGCAACATTTTAGATTTAATGTAACTACTTATTTCATAAATATATTTTCATGAATTCAAATGTTTTAATTTCACAAAAAAAAAATTTTTTTTAAAAATGAAACAATTGAATTACTATTTTTTTTTCTTTTGGAAAAAAATGCACGAAATACTAAATTAGTTTTGGTGGCTAACTGATTACTTAACTTAGTAAGCATTTATCAATGATTGCCAGTTTAAAAAAAAAAAAATTACCACACAGCGCCAGAGTGTAAGATACCGTTTCAAAGACAGACACAAATAAAAACTTAATAAAAAATGTAAGAGATCCGCGTGATCTACAATTTTTAATTATTTTTTAAAAGACAATTAATCATAAAGGATCCATTGTATCAAAGTAAATATTAAGCATTTTTTTACGAAAGTGAAAATTATTCCATAATGTCATATTTAGGAAACTATATAACCCTAAGCCTGAGTATAAGATAGCGTTTTATAGATGGAGATGAGTGTAAGGTACCATTTAGAAAATACATATAAGTAGAAATTTTTATCTAAAAAAAAAAGGAAACATACACTGTTAGAATTTTAATTCCAAAATTATGGTAAAATGACCTGCAGCAGTATGTCCATACAATTAACCGTAAAGTTTACGGTGAAGAACATTTTTTACAGTTACGGGTTCGAAACCGTTCGCAACTAGTACGGTTAAGAAACCGTGAATACAAACAATAACTTTTTTAACTATTTACAACTAGCATGGTTTCAAAACCGTAGAACAATTTTACTGGACATTGGAGCTGTGCTTTTTGTTAGGTAATAGGCATTGGAGTTAGGGTGTGGTTTATTAAGAGGAAATATTGTAATTTCAACCCTGGGCTCTTAACTCCTCTTCTGCCTGTCACGAGATTAACAGATTATTCTGAATACTATCTTATTTATGGTTAATTGCAGTGGTTTACATAGAGTAAGTTGCGCCCCCTGCAAGATTTATAAACGAGCCTTACCATAGGCTGAACAAATTTTTTTTAAATTAAAATATGACATAAGAACACTATGAAGAGACATTCAAGATTTATAATTATTCATTTATCTATTTTAATTTAAGTTATTTTAATTTAAATTATTTTAATTTAAATTATTTTAATATTAATTAATAAGGAATTAATAACTGTGATGGAAAGGCAGAATTTAGAAAAATTACTAAATTGGAACATTGTGTACATTTACCAATTTTCATTATAATAATTAAAATTATCTTAATAATACCAGAATATTACTCACTATCAATAATTATGTAAACTATATTGTTGTTGTTGTTGTTGTTGTTAATTTACGTCGCACTAGAGCTGCACAATGGGCTATTGGCGACGGTCTGGGAAACATCCCGGAGGATGATCCGAAGACATGCCATCGCAATTTTGATCCTCTGCGGAGGGGATGGCACCCCCGCTTCGGTAGCCCAACGACCATGTAAACTATATATAAACTATATTACAATTAATAATTATATTTAAAGCTTAGTTAAGAGTTATTTCAATTTGTAAAGTGAATTAAAAAATATCTTATAAAGAAAAAAAATATTTTTATTGAAATTCATATAGTAGGGTACACAAACTTTTTGAATGAAGAGCTAAGTGCCCAAGTATTTAGATACGTTGACAGCAATTATAATAATTTTAAAGTAAAAATCATTGTTTTAGACGTAGTTTCTTTTATCACTTAACTTAGTAATATGTTATTGAAATTAAATTATTTTAAATAACTATATTTTTATTATCTTAATTCTTTTAATTAATTTTTTCTTTCTTTTTTAGCAATCAACTTTACCACATTAGTATAAAATTTAAATTCTTTTAAGCATTAAAATTCCTACGAAACTGAAGAAAACCAAACTGGTTCTTTTCAAAATAAAAATATTTCCTTTTTATCAAATAATAATAATAATAACAATACAGATTTATCGAAAAAATATAAAGCTGGGGAAAAAGTTAACATCGAAAAATATAAAAGCAATTGCAAAAAAAAAGAGTAAAAAATAACATGGACTGACGATGAAATTGGCACAAATAAAACAATGTCAAAAAGTGATGGTTAAAATGCCTGATTCGGAAATCGCTGGTTGTTATAATACTGAATTAAAAATATTCGAATTTTCGTAACACCGTCGAGAAAAGCCTGGTAATTACTGTTGAAAGAACGATTTAAAAAAAAAAAAAAATTCTTTGATTTGCGATGAAATCAGCACATGTGAATTTTCAAAACTATGTGGAAATACGTAATCGGATAAAAGCAATTGAATAATAGCTTGGATTTACGAAAAAATTGACACAAATAAAGCACATCAAAAGTGATTACTGTTTTCACGATTTGAATGTAGCGAATTGTTATAATATCGTAGTAAAAAGATCGGGATTTTAAGTAAACATCTGTAAATCCGACAATAACCTCCTACAACACGACCGAAAAGTCACTTGAATTAATTATGAAATAGATTCAAATAAGGAGTTTCAAAAGTAATTACTAAAATTCGAAATTTAAGCATTATAAGTTTATCGTATTAAAAATATTGGGATTTTTAAAACTTAGGAAATTCGTAGTGATGACCACCGAAAAAAATAATCGAGAAACTACATTGATTTAAATTGGGCGAGTCAGAAAACTTAAATGTGCAATTCAAAATTTCCGATTTTTTTTTCTTCAAAAAATATATTATAAGTTTTTTTAAAATTATTATTACCATCTTAAGTTTTCATTTAGTTCTATTTTAATCATTGGCAGAGTCGGTCGTCATTTCTTAGCAGCAAAATTTCCCTAAGGAAAAGGCTGAAGAATTTGAAAAAAACTACCCAGTACATTGATAAATCTTTCTGAAACAGAACGCTCTAAACATTTGAAGAACAATTTCTCAATAGTTTTTACCTTTCTATTATCAAAAGCTTGCAATCGATAACTTCCGATTTCGTGATTGCATGCTGTTACAGATGTGTGTATTACAGTAAAATACATTTTTTTTCTGTCTTGAGTTCATTACAAATTAAAGGAAGTCATTTCAATATTGCTTAGTTTATTCCATGAATAAATATATGATTTCAAAACGTGCAGAAATGTAATAGTTATAGAATATTCTTCTTCTTCATAGAATAGTATATATTTCTAAATCTATATAATTCGGAAAACAACAATAAAGAATCATCGGAATTACTTGAAATAAAATAATTTCTGTTGATTATTAATACATTTTTATCGTTTTCTTGATATTTTTTAATTTTGAGTCATAAATTTCAACTAGAATTCAGCTATTCTGTTTTTAAGTTACGTATTGAAATTCATATCGTGATCTAGAAATTATAAAATTTTATTGTGTAGTATGTCATCTTAAAGTAATGAAGGAATAATCTATGTATATATTATTTGGAAATAAAGCTTTCAAACGAAGAACATATCATTTAGGATTTCTCCGGATATTTGGAAGCAGGTAAGTGTCGTGATTTGTATAATAAAAAATTTTACTTGTAAATAATTTTTTTTCTTATTTGATGATAATTTTCTGTAGAAAGGTTTTCTACGTCCGATTAGGAATATTAATTAAAAAAACATGAAAGTTTTTTATTTTAGTGCGAGGAATTTTTTAGAATCGTTTTTTTTTCCCGTAAGCATTCTTTATTTTACGTTTTTTAGTTTATAAATAATGATTTTTAATATAACTTAAAATTTTTCGGTAAAAATTGTTGTCAAAAAACTTTTTTTCAAAATTAAATAATATCATTAAATTTAGCAAAACGATTTCGCAGTCATTAGGTTTTAACTCTAATAAGAAGATACATACTTTTTTTTCTGTTTATTTACAAATATTTTTCTGATGTGTTTTGGATGTTCCTTCTCCAAGAAAATAAAAGAGATACCATTTTGTTTTTGCTTGCTTAAGAAAGAATATCAAACATTTGTCTTTTTTAAATTTAATAAACCACAATATAGAAAGAACGTTACAATGCTACAACAACGCTCACTGTAGTTCGCTGTGATCGCGAAATGCATCCGAGCAGAGGAGGAGAGGATAGGGAAGAAGCTCTAGATATGTAACTTCGGTCTTCTCGCCAGATGATGAATCCGAGAGTTACGACTTCGAATATGTCTCACCCTATCTTTTTTTGGAACGACGTATCAGTGACACTTACCTTTTGCACAGCTATTTTTTATCACTACAAGATGGCGCTTAAATTTCTCATCTTAAGGAGCATTCTTACTGCCTGTGGTTCACACATTTCTGGTCGCCATCGATATTTTTCCAAGAAAAACAAGCAAATAAAAATTTTCATTTTACTCATTGGTGAAAAAAATGCCTGGACCGCATTTAATGAAAGCAATTTCCATACATTAAATACCTTATATTTCTTAGAAGTTTAGGTCCAAGCATATATTTACTTCTGTTCAAAAAAAAACATCACATGGTTTTGTTTGTTTACTAGTTTACTATCACGCGTTTCTGACGGAATTAGCATAAGATAAGTGTTAACTATCTTTAATCTTATCTTGTTAATTATCTATTGTTAGTTCTAGATTTTATTTCAAACATTTGTTTTATTTATGTAAAACTGGTGAACACGATTTGTTACTAGCAGTGTTGTTAATTAAAATAGTTATTAATTTCTGAAAGATGCTTGTTTCGTCTGTAGTTTTGTGTTTATTAATCGCTTTAGTTAAAGCAAAAAATGCATCTGTTACATATGATCAAACAACTGGAAAATTTCAAATCCATGACTATATAGCTAATGATCCTGTAGCTTATGGTACATTTACTGACGAAATTTTCAAAGTTGGGTGAGCTAATGCTTTTGTTATTGTTCAGTTTCTAAACACAGGGGAGATTTCCGTATCAAGATCTGACGCGCCAATTACACTTGCCAAGGTGCCAAATAAATTTTAAACTTGCAAATTTGTTTTAAAAAAATATGTAGATGATTACCCAGGGGTGACTACGAGTTGGTTCCTTTCTATAATGTTCTTTTTAATTTCTCGCGGACCGCTGTTCGGAAGTTTCCAAAACTTGGCAATTATTCTTCCACAGAACATTGTTAAGTTTCTTTATTTACACTGTACTTTCAAAAGATTCTGGCCTTAGGATATATACTTTCCAATTAGTGTTATCAATGTTTAATTTATTTTGGAAATATTTCCATATTGTGATCTTCATCAGAATAATCGCAAATTTTGGTGACTTCCAGACAGTGGTCTGCAAGAAGAAAAAAATCACGAAAGGGAACTAACTTGAAAGGTGTAACTGTAACTCATACCCACCCTCAGGGAAACTCCCACAAGTTTTTTTTTCTTTTCTTAAATTTGCAAATTTTATTCCATTTAGTACCTTGATGATTGTAGTTGGCATAACATACCATGATACATAATTCCCTGCATTTTTAGAAGTGTCCAAAATTTTGTGCCTTTTTTTCTAAACTCTTTTGTAAAAGTGAGACAGTTAGCATCCCTGTGCTTGACATCCTATTTAGTTGTTTTTATTCTTATACAAACTGAAACAATGTGATTATAATAAAAATGAATTCTTTTGTCTTCTAGATGGTCATATCTTGAAATTAAAAGCTATGAAAAATATCCAGATCCTATTCAAGCCTATGCTGCTGGTGTTGTAGAGGGGTATTTAACTGCTGACTTGCTAAGGAAACATTTCTCTAACCTAGTTGACGGCTATTGTGATGGAGAGGAGATATATTGTCAAAGATTGACCTCATTTTTGCAAGAAAACTGGGATTTCATTGATAGTAATGTGAAAGTTCGTCGGAAATATGATGTTTACTGGCATCAGGTAAATTTAAATTACTCAATTCATTAAATGTAACTTAATTTTTTTAGTCTTCTAAAAGGGTAGTTTTGCACTATTTTATAAATAATTTATCAAAGAGGTTGAAAAAGTTTTTAATTATAGCAAATTGGGAGCACTGATTTCAAAAAGAAGTAAAGATTATTATAGTTTTTATAACAATTGAATAATAAGTTAAATAGATGAATAAAAATTAGAAGTTATGTTCCTAACTTAGGAATTCTATCACCAAATGTCACCTTTTTTTAACAATTGAATATAATGTAGTTTTTTTTATTTCCAATACCCATCTGGCGAATGAGCCATACTGGCATCTGAAGGGCAGGTTTGTTGACCACTCTTTCAGGGGCACCATATTAAATGGCCAACGTTGCTCCCACAGTAAAGACAGATAGTACAAAGAATGAAGGAACATCCATTTCTTACGCAGGATTGGAACCCAGAACCTTTCTGATACAAGGATAGTTCCCTGACCCCTACACAGGCCAGTCGGCATATTATGTGAAGTAGTTTAAAAGTTTTGAAAATAAGAATGCTATCTCCGAATTTCAACTTTTTATTTTTAACAATTGAATATTATGTAAAGTAGTTAGGTAAAAATTAAATTTTAGAAGTAGTGTCACTTAATGCGTCAATAGTATTGTTATGTGTTTAGTTATGATTGCTAATTATTAAAGTTAATTATTATTAAAGTTAATTATTAGTAGAGCCCGGATTTTGATGACCTAAAAAATCTCAATTAATGCCCTTAAAAAGTGCAAAAAATGCCCTTAAAAGTGCAAAAAAATGCCCTTAAAATGCGAAAATTGCGCTAAAAATGCCTTATGACATGACTTAAATGGAGGAAAAATATTGAACTAAAATAATGTTGTACTCTTTAAAATTATTATGAGTCGTTTCAAAAAATATAAAGCAATGCAATACTTGTTCTACGTTCATTAAAGTTTGAGAAATATGTTTTATATCCTAAAATAACAAAAACAAAAGGAAAATATATTGACTCCAAAACATTTTCATTTTGTATAGAAACTTAAATGAGTATAACAACTTTCATCTCATAATATTACTAAATATCAGAATTACAGTTAATTATTAAATTTTTTTTTAATATTTTGAAATGTAAACGAGCGTCTCTAGTCTGAAAGCAAATTTTTATACCAGGAGAAGCTTCTTTCAACGTCTACTGATGTTATTGGTGCTTACTTGAGATGGATGGTCACACTTACTGACAATTCTTCTTCAATTTGAAAAAATGTTGCTTCACCTGTTAATATCCTAGAGATTTTCTTCATTGTTTGGAAGCCAGTGTAATATAAAAAAATTATAAAAAATAATAAAAATTGGAAAAAATTAGCAACAAAATTTAAAAAATGCTTTAAAATGCGAAATACACCCCAAAATTTAAAGAAAATGCCCTATAAATCTCAAAAAATGCTCTAAAGGACAAAAAATGTCCAAAAATGCAAAAAAATGCAAATGTCATCAAAATCCGGGCCTTAATTATTAGTTATGATTGCTAATGTAGAGGCGAAATTGAACTTCCAAAACCTTCCTTTTGTTAAGTTTATGTTAATAAATAAATAAAAATATATAAATATTTGCTAACCTCATGTTTTCTTTTTCTGCTGTGTTCTAACAATCATTCTTGCAGAGAAAATTGTAGTTAAAGATATTTTAAATATTAACAAACTAAAGCTTTGAAAAGATTTTATTAAAATATTAAATTATTATGATTTTACTATAATCTACCTGTTATTATGACCACCAATTATTATGATTTTACCATAATCTCATTGGAGTAAATATAATCTCTATATATGTGGTGTTTAACTTTTATTGGTCTATGTAGAATGATAATTTTGGTAATTTACTGTGGTTGGGTGAAAATAAAAATTTCAATAGAGTATCTTTTCCTAAAGAATGTTGAATTTAGATTATTATAGTTCTCATATTATATGAATTTCTTTAGCAATCATATTTAATTACCATATATCTTGGTGTATAAGTCTACCCCTATATTTAAATATGCGATAGCAAATTTCTGGCATGTCAGGAATATAAGTCGTGTGTGTCATAATGTGGATTCAAATATTATTGTAAAATATTTTTAACAATGTGCAATTTCTAATACTTTGGTCGAGGATGAAGATGATTTCTTGTGGGACACAGCAGTTTGGGATAAAATAGAAATTCATTGCAGAGGAGAATCGGTATGATGACACTGCTAACGTTAATGAATCCAACACAAATGCTAACCTGTAGTCTTTGAATATGTAGCTTTATGGTATGCTTTGAAAGTTTTCATTGTGTTTTATTTTTTAAAATATGTTGAGATAAAATACAAATTTACTTGTAACATATTTTACTTGTAACAGTAGTTTTTGCAAAGAGGTAAATTCATTCAGAGTTATTCATATCTATCTCATAATTCATAATGCATTAATGTTTCCCGATCGATAGATGTCTGACTTTATTATCGGTCTATAAGTCAGCCCGTCCATTTTCAGAAAATTTGGGGGGTTTTAAAAGTTGATTTATATACCGTATGTATTAGAAGCAATTCAAAAATGTTAATACAAATTAGTAGTTACTTGATTACTACTAAATGTTATTAAGAGCAAAAGTTTGTAAAATGTTCTTTTATAGAACGCTTGACAGAAACTATTAAAGTATAATTTTTTATTATAGATTGTTTGAATAATAAAGACTGCATTATCCGTATTGTACCCATATTATCCATCACCAGAAAAAAATTAGGGCGTCATATTACTGCGCTGCAAATTTGAAATTGGCAATTTTAACTTTTATAAAGTTTCACTTGTTTTTTATTCATTTTAGAGAAAATAAAGCTACATATTATGAGGTTAATGTTATACGCAACTATTTCTTATGAAAAAGTTTATTTTATTTTTTGTCAGTGGAGCATATAATTGTTATAACATAAGTTTTTATTTCGAGACAAAACTGCTTCTTTAATTGTTGTTAAATTTTTTTTATTTAGATTGCTTTAACTTTTGAGCAGTTGCATGGATTGGAAGATGGATATAAAAATGTCACAAGCCAGCCTTCTACTAAAGTGGATCTAATGGGCCTCTTGTAATGTAGTTATTTTAAACTCAGCAAAAATAAGATCATTTTAATTGTTATCTGAAATTATTATTTTTTCTGATTTAAGTTTTCAGTAACCATAGCACAGTTTAGTATTATTGCAACATGTAAGCTAGGAAAACTATTTTTTAATAAGTAAAACTTTTTAAAAGTCTGTTATTAAAACAGATTTTCGTAATTGTAATATAATTTTTTGCTAACTATTAAGTATATGTTACACGTATTGTAGTCTTTGATAAACAATTAGGCAGATTTGGTTTATTTTTGTGTGTTTCATAAATACTCCATCTAATTTTTCTTCTTCTTTTAACTCTGAGTTTAAAACGTATCTATTTTATTTTATTTCCGATTCTAATTTTATTTCTGATATTTATAATTTTAACTCAGTAATTACTTATGAATGTGTAGCATCTTAAATTCTATTTCACCTTAAAAAGTGTTACTTTATCTTGTTACATATTGTCATCTATTCTGTCATCTGTTAACTGATTATAAATTTGTAACGAGTTAATAGATAACCCCTCACACCATACTTCAAACAATTTTATCTAAAATATTTTCTTTAAAATGTTTAGATCTTATTTTCTGAAATCACAGAAACTCAAAATTTCGTTCATGTTCTCTAATTACATTTTTTATATTCTTTTTTCTTATAAATTTAATATTCCTATAAAACTTATACTTTTACAAGTATAAGCATTACAGGAATATGAAATATTTTTTATACCTATATTCAAACACTTTAGTCTTGTACTTGAAATTCACACATTTTTTGCTTCAAGCATTTATTTGCATTTGAAATTTCTAAAAAATATATAATGCAATTTGAAGTTTTTGCTTACATCTGAATTATTTACTTTTTGAAATTAAATGACACCCCTCACATTATTTGGGGCTCAAGAAATGCAACTGCAAGTACTCCTAATCCTAGATGCAAGAACTTTTGTTTGCTAGAAGAAAAAGATTTTTTTCTCTCCCAAATTAAAACTAAAGATGAGACAATCTGATAAGTAGTAAGACTTTTTATCTAAAATCTTCTCTTCAAATCATGAACCAAAAGCGAAACACTACAAACATTGCTGCTATTAAGTTAATATTTTGAAATTCCTTGATATTTTTCCTTCACGGTAATCAAACTAAAGCATATTAATTTTACTTGTTGTTCATATTAAATCATTGTATTTTTCTGTCTTGCTGTACATAGAATTTACATTACCTTTATATATTTAGATTGCTGAATATTATGGGAGATTTAGAAGACTTAGAAGTTGTTTTAAAGAAAAATGACATGAGAAGAGTGTTAGGAAGTGGACATTGTTCAGGTTTGATCAAAGTCCTTCCAAACAATAAAGATATATTATTTTCTCAAGTAACATGGTCAACTTATACATCAATGCTAAGGATATTGAAGAAATATAGCCTAAAACTGCACACTTCCTTAGCAGATGGTATGATTTTTTATTTTTTCTTTGACTTTCCCAGTACGTAAAATCTGTCATATAATGGAATCGCTCATGGTTTTTACATTTTCTAAAAGCTAGTAATACAATTAACATAGGAAATAGAGTAAATGTTTTCTCAGTATACATCTCTTACTCAGGGTTCCCGCGGCCTTGAAAAAGCCTTGAAAAGTACTTGAATTTCATTTTGATTTTCAAGGGCCCCTAGAAGTACTTGAAAATGATATTAAATCCTTGAAAATTTCGAAATGACCTTGAAAAGTATCGAAAACTCAGGAAAACAGCCCTATTTCCAGTATTTCTATGTTTAACTTTTTGACGCGCGTAAGTGTGAGAGAATGACTTCCCCGTCTTTCAGATGATGACACGTACTGTTTGATTTTAGGATTTTATGTACGTTTGGCGGATTTTAGGAATTTTAAATATTGGGAACTGTGCCAGATTCTGACAAAATCTCGATTCTTATTCAGGCGATTTTAATATCAATCATCGATCTTCGTATTAGACTTA